TTCTTCTTCAAAAATATTTCTAAAATTAAGTTTTTTTGAATATTTTTAGTTTAGTTAGCATGTTGTAAAATTTACAATTAATTTTTTAATTTTTTTCAATTAAATTTTTGAAATATGTGGTAACCCTGAAAAGTATTTTTCAAAGCAACTCCTTTTCCCACCCTTTAATTGCAAGTCTAAATATATTTTTGAGTTAGCAAATTTTTCAATTCTTTTTAGGAGCAGGTGGCAACATTCCCCAAAAGTATTTTAAGCACTTGACTTAGTGCAGTTTTGTTGTAATTATTGTGTTAGTAATTTTCACTTCATACATTTCTTTTTTTATTTGTTTTTTACATATTTTTACATTTTTTAAACATATGGCAACTCCAAAAATATTGACTGAAATTTTTTTTCTCAACTCTTCAGTTAGACGTCCTATTTTATTTATCTGTTATCTGTCTGAGAACTTTAGGTTATGGTTCACCATATGAGTAAATGTTTGCCTGTCTCCCAGGATCCATCGTCGAATGTAGTATAGCCACCGCTACCGAGCTAACAGCAACTGTAACACTTCGTGAGCTTGAATACACCAAGGGCGGGTATTTCTTGGTGGAAACCTTTTGTCAATACTTTTCTTGCCAAACTTCTTCCCTTCAGTGAGAAAATTAAGTACTGCTTTCCTTAAATATTGAGCCGCTAGCCACTTGTATACGCAGATAAGTCCGAGATTATTGAGGCTTTGGAAAGGCGCATCATTGCAGGCATACCTCCCCAACTGCCGCAAAAGCTGGTGGAAAATTTGTCGTCTTAGCTGGATTTTATTCGAGCCCTAAAAGGAAGACCTCATCCTTATACTGTACCCAAATTCTTGGTCATAACTTTAAATTTTATATGTTTTATTTCTACTTGAAAATGACAAGGCTTATAGAAAAACAATCTTTATGTGATGCAGCCTTAATCCATAAACCAATACATACGCATTTACGCACCTCCAAATTTATTGAGCGGAAGCAAAAATTTGTATATATTTTCAGCCAACACCACCTTCCCCTCTATCAGCAGTTATTTGTACACTAATTTTAGCTGCTTGAATAGAAAAGGAAACCAGCTAAAATACCTTCAGGCCTTTCGTCTGCAAAATTTGTAAATCACAAAAAAAAAAAAAAAAAATAGTGCAAAGCAGCAATAAAATATCAAAAAAGAGTCAGAAATTTGTAAAGGAAATAATAAAAAAGTCAAATTGAAGTTAACGAAGTTATATACGTTCAAATGAGCTCACGTGCCAACAATGGGTGGGGCAAAAAATTAAGCTGTGGGTGGGTAAATTTGTGCACATGAGCAAACAAATTTAACACATGAATACATTTCATGATTATGCGGAGGGAGGGCGACAAGGTGTACATATAGCGTGCTAGTAGAGATATACTGAATTTTACTTTTACATATATTTTTATGTATATAACACTGTTGTGAAGTTCTAGCCGTTTACCTACATTCATAGCATACATTTAGGAGTTGCGTAAACGTAGGTGCGAATCATAAACATAATCCGCATGAAACGCAGTGTGTGTGAAACGTGTTGAGAATATAAAAATTACGTTGAGCAAGCAGTAGCCGTACTGTAAGTGTGTGTTAGTGCATTTTCACTGCTAACAACAGCAAACTTCAATAACAACACGCTTGCTCTTCAATAAGTGTAAATAAGCATAGGTGAGCAAAAAAAAGGAAGAAATGGAAAATGAGGGTTGTTTGCTTGCAGATTTTTTTTTTTGTTCATTTCCTGCAACTTCAACTTCACTGCGCCTAAAAGTATGCTACGTAGCCACTTTTATGTGGAAACAGCTGTGCCTAACAACCGCAAATGACTTTTTTATTTATTTTCAAACAACAATATATGTACATATGTATATTTATACACCTGCTCAAGCAAATAGCTTTACACCTTCGCATCTCACATATCGCTCCTGCCCTTTTTCTTGCACAAAAAGTTGAAATTATAAACATAAACTGCCTGCCACTGAGTGCTTAAAGTCAGCTAAGTCATTTGAAGTGTTGGGGGGGTAAGTGTGTAAGAGGCAGTGGATGTGAATTCCTGTGCACACAACATGGAAGCTCTGCCTTTGAAGCTGTGCTGGAATTTTTCATTCTTTTTTATATCTGGTGAGTGTAGAGAGGAAGATCTCAGAGAGAGGGAGAGAGCCAGGAGTGTACATAAAACATTTAAGCCGCATAAAAAACAGAGTTTTAAAGCGTTAAAAGAGACTGACAAAACGAAGAGCCAGAGTACTTGCCTTTCAATCACCACTGAGAAATCTTGTCTTGGAGCGTGAGAGAACAGACTTTAAAAAATATTTTTGCTGACATTCACAGAGTTCATGGAGTAAGCTCAGGCTTGGACCAATTATTTGTCGATTTTTTGAAATAATGACATCATGTGCAAGCGTTTTGAAGAGCAAGATATGAGGGCATGCCCAAAAAATTTTGCAAAGGGGCCCCTTCTCTGCTGCTCGATGTCCTACTGAAAATCAAAATTGAGGTCCGTCCGATTCAAGAGGACTGAAGAAGTTGGGTTCCTGTGAATTTTGTCGTGATGTCGCAACCATGTTTGCAATGAAGGTAACTTCGACACAACTGTCGGATAGCTCAGTATCGAGAAAAATGCAATGCTTCAAGACTAAAGCGAACTCAATCCTTGAGAAACCGTAACAAATGTGACGGCCAAAATACGAAAAACTACAAACATTTCGAGGGAAATAGCTTACAGTATCTAAAAATACTACTTTTCCACAGAAACCCCCAGAAAGAAACGATTGGAATAATGTAACCGTTTTTGATGGCATAGTGGGCTGCGGAGTCACCCACGACAGCCAAATCGAGTGAGCTCTGTTATTCAGTATCCGGCTTCATGAGATCCAACAATGAACAACGGCTTCTTATAATATACTTAGTAAGTCGCCGGTATTACATAAACACTACCAGATTTGGAGATTTTTCTTTTAGATTGGCTCAACTTGTTACCCTTCATATGGGTATATTCTACGTCTTCCCCAGAATGAGCAGGGTCTCAGCACTTCTAAATACGGAGAAGTCCGCAATAGTGTGCACTAGTACTTGACAGGTAGTTAGCACTGGCAAGTTCAATATATGTATTCAATAAGGACCTGTAGCTGCTCTAATTCACTGTCCATACCGGCGAGTGGTTAGCATTGCGTACTGCCATTCGGAAGTCTCGGGTTCAAATCGCCGTGCGATCAACATCCAAAAGTTATAGAAAATTAGTTTAAATAAAAAATTTCTTTCTTCTCATCGCTTGCCTCAGTCGTGGGAAGGAAAGCATTAACTGGGCAAAATGTAATCGAGGTACATCGGGTTAAGGATAAAAAGCTAAGTGAAGTAGAAAAGAGATTCTTATTCAATTCACAAAAGTTCTAACTGTTACAAGGTTATAGTTTTTTAATAGTAAATAAAAATTCATGACTATAATTGAAATTTATTTATTTGAGTTCACAAGAACCTTATCTCATAAGTCAAGTAACTAAACAATGCTAATGTCTTTTATTCAGACGATTTTTTGCTTGTTTCAAGTTTTATTAGCACATTTAGTGATTTTATTATGAATGCAAAGCAAAGCTTTCCTAAGCAACTTTTTGTTCACTAACAAACTGTTTAGGCTTTAGACGGTTGCATGTCTCCATACCATTTTAACTCCACCTTGGTATCGTATAAACTCATATCAGCAGTTTATAGAGCAAAATTATAGCTACCGTTGTTAGCAATGAAGTTGTTATGTGAAGTATTTTAGTGAAGGTATTTTAGCTTTTTACATTTCCGCATTTTGGCTGGTTATCGGAGGCGTTTACCATTTTACATGCCAAAAAGGCATTAAATGGGGAAACTTCGGCTGTTTATCATATTTATGCCTTGCACAGTATGAAGGAGTTTTAACACTTTGCTGTTTACACTCAAATTCACTTATGTTTTACGCTGAATTCTCACAAGGCAATTCGTTTAAGCATATTCCCCAGCCAAAGTAACAAAGAAATTATGAAAACTTAATTTAAAAAAAATTAATTAAAGAAAATAAAANTCAAAATACATTAATATAAAAAATTTAAATAAAATGAAATGAATTGAACTGAAATAAAATAAAATTAATTTAAACTAAATTAAATTAAGTTAAATAATTCTAAATTGAATTAAATTCAAAAGAGTAACAGGAAGTAAAATAATCATAATATAATAATTTAAATATAATAATAATCTAAATCAAATATAATAATTCAAATAAAAAGAAACCATCGGAAGCTATGATGTTTGCCCATCTGTCTGGCAATTTGTGGAGCCCATCACAAAGATGCTTCTCTGGCTTGGAGGTCAAGAAAGAATCGAGCCAATTTCTGATACCCTGTTCTGAGGTGAAGCGCACTACGGTGAGGGTATTTTGCATTGTTCTGAACAAGTGGTAATCGGAAGGTGCTTCGCCTGGGCTATAAGCCGGCTGAGGTAGAACATCCCACCCACAGTTTTCCAAATAGTTTTTAACTGGCCTTACAACATGTGGCCGAGCGTTGTCATGATGAAAAAATAATTGATTCGTGTCTGGTCGCATATTCTAATCGTTTTTCCGCGATGGCCCTTTTCAAACCAATCAATCGTTTTCGTTAGAGGTTCCCATTGATCGTCTGACCCGATTTTAACAGTTCATATTAGAGCACACTCTTGTGGTTCCACCAAATACATAGCATAACCTTGGCATCATTGATATTCAGTACCTTTGAAATGAATATAGCCACAGATAAACGCAATGCGAAATAATACTAGTAGATCCCTCTCTTAGAAAACCGCACGAATTAATGCATACATAATAAAAATATAAAAAAAAAATTTCATTAGAAAAAATAAAGTAACTTAAGAGGTATTGTTTTTTTAATTAAAATTTTTATTTATTGAAAAAAAAAATATATATATATACAAACATTATATTCAGAAAAATAGATACTAAAAAAGACACCAAAACAGTTTGCCTTTACTCGCAACGCATATTTTAGTCAACAACTAATTTTTGAAACTAATGCTGCAACTTTCTGTGGCACTTTATTTTATGCCGCTGCTACCGAATGTGCGCCATAACCACGCTCAGCCAACTCTTCTTGGATTATTTGCTGCTTAACCTCAGGCTTCTCATCCCGTGGTACTTTCACTTTGACGGCTTGCACCACAGGCTGAGTAATCACACCAACTCCTGGCAAAGTAATGAGCGGTTGTTGTTGACCCTTAGCAGGCAAAAGTATACGATATTCCTCCTCACTGGACTTGGAATCACTGGAGACAATGTAGGGCAAGTGCACAGCGTGTACGCACACAAGAACTGTTCAAAAGAAATAAAAGTATATTTTTCCCTTAAATAATAAATATGGTTAAGTATATTGAATATGTCAAGTACTTGCCTGCAGCGAAAATTACTAAAAACTTCATGTTGTTTGGTTTAAGGTGTGATGTGTTGTGTTTCTCATATTCGAAAGTAGGTGTTTATATACAATGTTTGCGGTAGTTTGACACGCCCTATACTGGTTACTTTGAGATATATTTAAATTTAACAGTTAAACTTGTAACTTACGTTGTATAAGATTTACTTCTTTCCTCTCCGTCAGACCGCTTATTGCCGACATACGACTTCATATATGTGACTTTTTTACTTAAAAATACATACAGACGTGCTTATTCATGTTTAACAGGCGTGTGTTGGCGATTTTATCGTTTGTTCCGCTTGTCTGGTTGTTGATCTTCTTATTGCATGTTTTGTGAATAAAACTATAAATAAAAACAATTTATTTCACCTAATTTATTTTTCCAAATTTCTTTTTGGTTTTAATTTACTTTATTTAATTTCATTTATTTTTTTTATTTTATTTATTTTATTTTAATTTAATTTATTTTATTTATATAATATAATTTTAATTACATTTATTTAATTTTTTTATTTCTTTTTATTTTATTGTTTTTAAATTTAATTTATTTAATTTCTATTTTTACCTTATTTTATTTTAATTTCATATTATTCTATTTTTACTCAATTTTATTTAATTTAATTTATTTTTATTTTGTTTTATATTATTTTATTTTAATTTATTTCATTTTAATTTAACTTATATAATTTTATTTTAATTTATTTGATTTTATTTGAGTTTATTTGTTTTCATTTTATTTTATTGTTTTTAAATTTTATTTATTTAATTTTAATTTTTTACTTCGTTTTATTTTAATTTTATTTCATTCTTATTTTTACTCAATTTCATTCAATTTAATTTATTATTACTTTGTTATACATTATTTTTTTATTTTATTCCGTTTGATTTTTTTATTTTATTTTATTTTATATTAATTTAATTTATTTGATGGCGTTTTATTATATTTTAGTTCAAGTTAATATATTTTGTTTAAATTTTTTTTTTTATTTCATTTTGTTTTATTTTTTTATATTATTATTTTATATTATATTATTAAGTTTTATTTTTTTATTTTATTTTGTTTTTTTTTATTTTTTTTCTCTATTTTATTTAATTTTTTTATTTTCTTTTAATTGCTTTTATTTAATTTTTTTTTTAAATGAATTTATTTTGATTTTATTTCAATTCATTTCATTTTGTTATATTTTATTTCGTTTTGTTTTATTTTACTTTATACTTTATTATATTCTTATTGAATTCTATTTTTTTTTATTTTAATTAATGTAATTTTTTTTTATTAATATATATATTTTTTTTTATTTTATGTTACTTTTTTATTTTATTTTCTTATATTTAATTTTAAATTCGTTTATTTTTTTTTTTTAAATTATACCTTACTTTATTTCATTTAAAATTATTTAATTTTTTTTATTTTATGTGTTTTTTATATTTAATTGTCTTATTTTATTTTATCAATTTTCTTACTTTATTTAACTTATTTGGCTTTATACAATTTTATTATGTTTTATTTTTCTTCTTTACACTTGATTCTAATTGTTGTGTTTTATTTTTTTTTTCTTTAATTTATTTTAAATTTTCATTTCGTTCTATTTTACGTTTTTTTGATATCAAATTTAATTCCATTTTATTTATATTTTTATTTATTTTGTGTTTTTTTATTAGTAGTTTTGTTGTTTTATGACTTTTTTTATATTTTACTTGGATTTATAATATAAAATTTCATTTAGTATGGCATTTAGCTTAAAATTTCACTTTAACAAATTTTATTTTAGTTTGTTTTGTTTTCTGTTGTTTCATTTTAGTTGAATTTTGTTTAGTTTAATTTAATTTTATTTGATTCATTCATTTCATTTAGTGGCAATTTATTTTTCTTTTTTGTTGTTTTATTTCTTACAATTTGGATTCCGTATATTTTGATTTCTGGTTAATTAAATTTGATTTTATTTTCATTTTTTTAAGTAATGTTTTCAATTCTATTTTAATCATTATATTCCTTTAATGTTTCTTTAATTTTATTTGGCATAATTTTTTAATTTAATTTATTTTTTCCGTTTTAATTTATACATTAAAATTTTTTTTATATTTTTTCTGAGCCGTTTATATTGTAATGGCTACAGCTGTACTTGAGTATTACAGTGTTTTATAAATAAATATGTATGACTACCTTGTAAGCGCTTTAAGCTTACATAAATCACTCAATTGTTGTGTAAAGCTGCCGAAAATCCAATTTTGATGCTTTCGTTTCGTTACACACAAGAAACATTCTTTTACCTTTTATGTCATTCTTTTCCTGCTTTTGTTGCCTTTCCCTCTTTTTTCCGCCAAACACCATTAAACTTTATATATTCATAAGTTAAATATTTGATGAAAGTAAAAGGAAGAAATCTAAAGCTTTCAAATATTAATATGTATCTGTGTGACAAAATTATTATAACAAATTTTCTCGTGATGTAATAAATAAACTCTTGAAAAAAATAAATTTAATAACATATTTATTGCGAAAATTGTATTTATAAAATTCCCATAAATCTATATTTCCTTCTTTGGGCTTTAGCCAATACTCCAACTCAATAATTTTTCATTAAATATTCTAGAGCAAAAGAAATAATGGAAATATATGAGTAAATCACTTAAGTTTTTCATATTTTTGCCATTCATTCAAAAAAAAAAAAAAAAAAAAAAAAAAAAAAAAAAAAAAATTAATATCTTACGTGCCTTCGTATATATTTCTGTGCTTAACCTCCTTCAGCGCGCCCCAACGCTGGTTTCACTCAGAAGCCAACAACTATATGTCTGCGCTCGCTTCCTGCTACACACCTCCTTTCCACCCATTTACCCACTTTCCTCCATAAGCTCCGAAACATACTTGCAAATGGCTTCATCGATTGCGCTGCGCCATAAATTAGGCTAATCCATTGATGAATGTGCGGCTTTTTAGCGGCCGTCAAGCTGGCTGGCTGCCTTTTTGCCTGGTCGCCTCACGCCAAAGTTGTTACCTTACACATATATGCAGTTACTTACTCGTATAATGTTGTTGCAATTTAAATTATTGCCGCTAATAAATATAGTGTTGGTGTTGAAAAATTGCCCAGTTAAGTTTAAGAGATTGAGTTTTTCGTATTTTTTTCGACTTTTTATAGGAATTTTCTTGTAAGCCGTGGAGGTTGAGCGTTAATCAACATATTTATGATATATTAAACAAAATATTAGTTTGCATAAATTAAAGCAAATTTCATTAATAATGGGGCAAAATAAAAATAGAAGGCATGAGGAGCATTCACAACTTCTCCTTTGCTTCCTGCTGAGTATATGAAACACATTGAGATGTAATGCGAAGCGTTTGCCAGATATTTGTCTATTAGATTAATAGGAGTTCGCAATTGGTTCAACAACTAACCTCCAGTGGTCAGTATAATGCACCAGTATCGGAGTATAAGATTTAGGTGTCATTAACTAAATCTTATACTCTCTTTTCCTATAACAAAAGTATAGCCTTGACTCTCACGAGCTCTACAATTCTTGAAAGCAAGTCAGCTCATGAAAAAGTATATCAAACCTCGCCGTACTACCTAGAAGCAAATAATACCGATTTTCCCCTCCAAATCCGTAGTAATTGCGTTAAATGCAAAGACAAAGTCGCGACTTTGGTGCCAGCGCCTTTGCATATGCAATGATTTTTATGCAATTCGACTACACAATGTTCAGAGTTACCATTATGAAGAATAAAGTTACACTTCCACATGCCTAACGCTGAAAGTAAAAAAAAAAGTAACCAAATGATCCCTCACTAAGTGTTGATAAATTCCTTACCTTCCGCCAAGAGCGGCGATGGACCTGAAGAGCCATATTTCCAACAAATGAATCATTTTAAACTGAAAACCGCCAGTCTAAAGTGATAATTGGTTAATAATTCAAATCCAAGCTTGGATCACAAAACCCTCACACACAATTCTGTCATAAAGCCAATCTGGATGTGAGTCTGGAAACTCCAAAATAATTAGAAATTCCTAGCGATCCCGTAAAAAGTATTCAAATATGCCAATCTAATAAAAAGCAACTTTCAAAAAATGCTGAATTTTTTCTATCAATTCATTGATTTATTTAATTATTATTAATTTATTTATCTCATATAAACCACTGGCCCGGATGGTAAAAAATTGGGTCAATCAGTTTACAATTTTTCTCCAGCCAAATCATACGCCATGGACATTATACAGATGGTAATCACTTGGTGCAAAGTCTGAGCAATCAGGTGAATGCAGAAGGGCCTCTCAACCATGCCCGGAAAGCTTCTGTCGAGCCACTAGCAATGTATGAGGTGCGGCGTTGTCCGGATGATACACAATTCTTCTACTGTTGGCCAAAGCTGGGCGATAGTACAGGTCCAAATTTATAGTTAAGTCGTAGGCGAGCAGCTGATAGTGTAATGTTTAGCTCCTGGGCAATCGAAACAGCGCTCGAATGATGGTCAGACTCAACGAATTTCATCATTTTATCCCCAATTTCGATAATTGGGCTTCCACACTATGGAACATACTTCACATCACGTTTACCTGAATGAAATCGACGACGTATTTTCTCATTGCTGATGTCCATCTTTGACATGCGCTCAAACTGTGAGTTCAGTGATCAACATTTCTCTCGTCATCTTTTTTAGTTCAAAATATTATTTTTAACGTCATTTAGCGTAATCCAATCGCAATTATAGAACACGGGGTAATGATCACTAAATCCATCTTTTGCCAAAGCAAAATACTGTGAAATTGTTATTTCCTCCCGCACCGACCCAAAAGCTAATCTGTAATGTAGTGAACGTGCAGTGAACGTGAAAACGTGCGCAATCCTTGGGCAAAATGTGGTTGAGCCTGGAAACCAATTCCAAAGAGAGCCCCAAATTTCGATTTCGAGATTCGGATAGAGGAAGCGATTATTGATAACGCCAGAAAAGTCCTTATAGTGACACTGAGAGCCAGACATAGGCGTCTGAAGGCAATAGCTACAAATTACTATTTCAACTGATATTTCTTTCTACTGCAACATGCTTTAATTGCAATAA